TAATGATAAAAATAATAAAGAGGCTCCTCGCCCTCGCGCATTCTGTGACGTACAACTTGTCAATCGCAGGAGAAGGAGCAGCGTCTGCAGGGACGTAACTCGGAGCTCTTCCTTGAGATCAACAACGTACGCTCCCCTGACCTGACCGTAGCTGAACCAGAGGTCATAGGTCAATCTCTTAGGACGGTGCCTTACTACCGGTAAGAAAATACAATTGTTTCGAATCACAAGCCTACATTACCTGTATGTGGAAAGAAGTTTAGCTGCTGCCTACTGCCTATGAAGCTGAACTTCTGAATCAGAAATGACACGTTAAAGGACGATCCTAAACTGAGAAATCAAAAACTGGAGTCGGTGTCCGGGGGCGGTTTTTTTGGAAACTTTTCATTTGCAATATTTCATGAAGTTGTACGGTTTAAGTCTCAATCTTGCATAATTTCGATTATTTAGAAAAGAAGAGAGGAGGGGTAATCCTGAAACGTTTCATTTTTGTCATGAACGCGAGTAAGTAAGGTTTGCGTCATCATATTATTTACAATGTAAAAATGTTACAGAGTTGAAAACTACTTTATTTTGTTTGGCACGAAACGAGCACTCCTCACTCACTTTGTCAAATGATTTAACGGAAAGTAGTTTTCGTGGCATTGAATTTTATGTAAATAGTACAGAGCAATTTTGTCAAGGGTACTGTTACCGTTGGATAGAATCGACAATCTAATTGTACTAATATTGTAAAAGGTGCACGGCTCTAATAGTGCGCGGCTTTGATAGTTGTTTATTTTTTTCGAAAATGAGCGGCTTTGATAGTTTCCCGTAAGGTTTACGTCTTCATATAGATTCTATACACAGTTTTGATCATTTAGAAATAAGTAGAAGGCGGTCTTTGACCGTGCCGTGGCACAGGCCCCCTGTCTAACATTCTGTGAGGTTAGCGAACTCTCTTCATTCCTGCCTGTCAGGGTCAACCCGGACTGGATGAGATCGAGCATCCCAACCGACAGACGGGAAACACAATGAAATAGCTCAGCTACTCTGGAATCGAACTCACCTCTCATGTCTGTTTTATAAGTAAATCGTCTATGCAGTCTTGTAAACGACTACTCAACATTCACCTGCTGCCCCCCCCCCACTCCCCCTTCAACCCTACTATACCTTGCATTTTGTAAAGTCCCACCCTTTGTCGTTGGCGGGTGCCCTTGTGTGTTTTGCTCTTTCGTTCTTATCAAACATCCATCTTTCTTATCTCTCCTCCTTTTTATGTTTGTTTCTCTTTTGTTTCACTTCTGATCTTCTGCAATTAAAAGATATTATTGTGTGGCAAGTTACGAAAACCTCTTACTAATTTAAACTCAACTGAAGTCCCACTCCCAAGCCCTCCAACTCGCCTGTACCTAATACGTTTTTTTTTAAATCTTCTTTTCCCTGCAGGGCTTCATCAAGTGATAGTTACTATATGCCGCTGTACCGCCCTCTGCGCCAGTACCTGGAGGTGTCCAGCACACATGGAGTGACCATGAGCCACTTTGACATGGCCACAAAAGAGTTTGTCGCGACCAAGGAGATGCCTGCTGAAAGCGTCACCTGGTACAAAGATGGCGGCATACAAATTGCTTGAGGAAAGGCCAGGCAGCCTCGTCGTTGTCTGTTGTGTGACTGCCAGGAAATGCACACAGGACGCTGGTGCTATCGAGGCGTGGAATGTTTGACGTGAGGCCACCACCAGAAATGCAGAAAAACCAACGATTTATTACCTCTTGAAAAACAGCAAACTTGCAACATAATGCACATGAAACAAAACGACAGCAACTATAACAATAACAACTAAAATAAATAAGCAAGCAAATAGACATTCAACCCAGTATATGGGTAAAAACAAAACAAACAGCAATACCCCCCC